GCCGCCGCCGGGACGCGCGCCGCCAGAGCCCGCAGCCGCCTCTCGCTCGCCGCGCTGCCTCAGCGGCGGAACATCTGGCCAGGGGCTGCTGAGCCACCAGGCTGCTGTCCCTGGTGGCGACCGCGGCTCCGCGTAGAGGGCCGAGACCTGAGAGGCAGCAGGCTGGAGCACAGGCACTGGAAAAGTTGAGACACCTGAATTGCTTCTTCCTTCCTGGCCACCTAGCAGCAGAGAAGGAGAAGGGGCGGCAAGGGCGCGGGAGTAGACACAGCGAGAGCGGTAGAGGCGCGCTCGCGGAGGCGCGGGCCGGAAAGTTGTGCGAACGCCGCTGCAGCTGCAGAAGCGGCGGCGGGCGCGGGCGGTGCTAGACGTACCTGTATTGTTCGCTAGTCTGGGCAGCGCAGGGCACGACGCGCGGCTCAGCAATCCCCAGCCTCGCGCTAGCTGCCTTCACGAGAGCCGCCTGATTGGCCAACGGGCTCCGGCGTTTAAAACAACCTCCTCGCCCAGCCATTGGCTGTAGGCCTCATGCATATTAAGTAGCCTCCCGCGCTCATTGGGCGCGGCCTCTGGGCTCATTCATTTAAACATAACAACCCGCGGTCGCCTGCTGAGAAGCCAAAACAGCGAATAATAATATTCTCTCAAACCCACCTCCCTCCCCCACCGCCCTCGCGGAGCAGAGGTGCCATCTCCGAAGACTTTGGGGAGGTGGCCCTGAGGTTCCCTAAGGCCTCGGCCTCTAGCGTGAGAAAGCCAGGTCGAGCTCAACAGCTCTGCCCTCTGCTCCTACAGCGTGACCCTTTCGCCACCCTTCGCCCTAGCCCCTGACCCAGGAAACCCCTGGGTCGTTTGGCCAGGATCTATGGCCCACCTCTGCCCAGGTGTGACGCAGCAGGGGCCTGGCTGCAGGCCCTCACTCGGTGCCCAGCCAAGCTTCAAGAGCCACTGCATCCTAGCAGAAGCCAGGAGCTTTTGATGCCTACCCAAAGGAGGCCTTCATGGATGGCATTCAATGGGGCTTTTTCCAGTAATTCCCAGAGCTTCTGTGTAAGCACTTACAGTTGAGGAAACATCCGGCTAGGATAGCTAGGAGAGGAAAACAGAGTCTGATAAGAGCAGAAGAAAAAAAAAATGTGAGAAAAAGTAGTTTTGTGAGCAAGGAGTGTTACAGAGTAACAAAGGACTCCCATCACTGCCCTATGCACACAAGCATTTCTTTATTTTCCTGATGATCCCCTAGTGAATAAAAAAGTACTTGGAATGACAGACTAAATGGCACTGGCTTGGTGGTATGTATGGTCTTGGAGAATCAGACAAAATATCAACCCTACTTAAAAACCATCTAAGAAGACTGATGGTGTAGCACAGCAGTACAGCACTCATGTGTATATGTATACATACTGCAAAAGAGGAAGGGTCTATTTATCATTTATCTCTGCTCAAGAGACAGTCTTTACTGCTAGGCATGGTGGCACAAGCCTTTTATCCCAGCACTTGGGAAGCACAGGCAGGCAGATCTCTGTATGTGACCCCTCTCCCTTTCCTTTTAAGAGGTCACATACAACTGCAAAAAGCACTGCCTCCTTCAGTCATGGGAGGAGCAAATACCACTACAGATCTATGTGTGTTTGAGATCAGCCTGGTCTATATGGGGAACTCTAGGCTAGCAAGGACTACATAGAAAAACCTTGTCTCAAATAAACAAAGCCAACTGTCAGATCTGAAGGTAGTTGCCATGGTTCTATATCCACCTTCCTCCTGGGCTCCTATGTGGAAACTCCTCCTAGACTAATTTCCTTCTCTAACAGCATGCCAAAGAACAGACTGTGTCCTAGTGGGTTCCTGTCTTACAAAAACTCTCATACTTTAAAGCCATGTGTATATGCTAAATGCATAGTAAAAGGCAGGCATAGTATGGCATGTTTATAATCAGTACTTAGAAGGCTGAGAATTGAAGATTTCAAATTTGAGGTCAGAGCTAGACTGACTACACAGTGAGACCCTGGTCTCAAAAATCATGCCTACTAATAAATAGCAGGAGATTAAGTGAGGAAGTAGGACTAGGAGGAAAGAAGAGGAAAATCAGTGGTTTAGGGCTCTCTATCATCAATTTCCTGATATGCACTTTGACATGTACATCATCTTTCCCAGAGGCACAGCCCAGTCTCAGGTACTACATGGTAGTATGCTTCTAGTGTGTAGCAAATGGCAACTGGTACCTGTTGGCTTGGTAGTAACAGTGAAATGAGTGCCCAGAACAACTAAACATGTGAGTAACTGGCTGATGTAGCCGAATTTCTAAAGGGTCTTATTAAATAAAAAATACAGAGCCAGAAATTTAGGTTAAAGCCTTAGAGAGATCAGGGAAATACAGAAAGCCAACAGCAAACTTTATCTCACCAACTCTGCAGCTTCCAAATTGTGTGACTTCCTGTCTACCCAGGCTTATATACCTTGCTTTTCTGCCCTCTCATTGGCTCTGTTAGCCCAGCTACCTCACTTCCTCTTCCCACACAGCTCTGTCACTTTCTGCTTATCTGTACAGACTTCGAGGTCTCTATGGTTGGTACTAGGATTAAAGGTGTGTGACACCACGCTTGGCTCTGTTCCCCAGTGTGGCCTTGAACACACAGAGGCCCTGCCTATTAAGTGATGGGATTATGGGCATGTGCTACCACTGCCTGACTTCTTTGTTTACTTATAATGGCTTTCCTTTTCCTCTGCTTCTCCAGGCAAGCTTTATTTATCAAAGCACACACACACACACACACACACACACACACACACACACACACACACACAAATATCACTACATTTCAGCACAAATAAAATATCACCACAGGCCTAGGAGCAGTAAGGCACTTTAGTCCTTAGCCATGGCCCTCTAGGGAAAGCCTTTCCAGCTGTCAGCTCCAAGGCTCAGAAACAGGCAAGGCCTATCCACAAAAGACAACCACTAACTAGAATCCCTTAAGCTGCTTCACTGCTGAGAGAAGTTATGAAAACATCAAAAGTAAATACAAAATGGGATAAAGTGTGGCAAATGCTATTTAAAGAGGTTTTCAATCCCTGTCAGTTGAAGGCCCCCAAAAGATTAAGCAGAATCTTCATCATTCAACAAAAATGAGTTCCTGCGCCTGTGGCACACTCCCCACCCCACCTCCACACACAGACCCCAGAGTCTTCACTTGGGTACCCAGGGCTTGAATGGGACTCTCCATGGGGCCCTGGCAAGTCAGTTTCCTTTTCAGATCAGTAGAAGTCCTGTGTAGTGGCACATTCTGGGAATCCAAGTACTAGAGAGGCTAAGACCTGAGAAGCAGGAGTTCAGGGTCAGTTGCCTTCACAACAAGACCCAAGCACAAGTGCTAGGTATGGTAGCACTCACCTTTAATCTCAGTATTCTGGAGACTGGGGCAACCAGATCTCTGTGAGTTCTAGGCCAGCCCAGTCTACATAGTGAGAACCTGTGGAATCAATGGAAGATTGACGTTGAGGCTCAGTAGTGAAGTGTGCGCGCGCGCGCGCGTGTGTGTGTGTGTGTGTGTGTGTGTGTGTGTGTGTGTGTGTGTGTGCGTGCTCTGGGTTCCATCCCAGGGCTCACATAAAGAAAATAGAGAAGAGCAAAGGAAGCACAGCTAGAGTACCTATTCCAGGAAGGGGTAAGCTATGCTGGGATTGTTCAATCACTTAAAAGTTATCAAGGCTCTGAACACCTCCAATGAAGCAAGACCTTCAATAGGAATAATCATACATCAATCCAGATCTTGACAAATAGCGTATCTTTGACTACTAGCTGTCTTTCAAACCTTACAGCCCATGACCCACCCTGGTCATCGTCCTGTGATCAAGAACAGCTCAGTGCCTCCTCTGCATCTCTCAAATATCCCCATCCCTAGAGTCCAGGTCTTCTCCCCTCCTGTGCCTTTCTATTTGCTTTTCCCCATTAGTGGGTAAGATGTTTTCAGAGGTGATTGGCAACACAGGAGCTATAAACTGTGTGTACACTTGCAAAGATTGCATGGCCCAGCTTTCTGGAACATCAAACAGCCAGAGATGGACCCAAGTCCCTGCAAGGTCAGAATGAAGGCTTGGTCATAAGCACAAGAGACTTTGGGGAGCTGCAGCCAGCATTCTCAAAAAGGGGTTCCCAATTTTGAGCAGCAGCTTGAGAGAAGTCTACTGGGAACCAGGTAGGTGGGATGGAACTGTGCCTCTTCTCCTGCCCTGCTACACAGTTGAAGCCTTGCAGCCTCCAGGGACTCATTGGCCTAAAACTGAACCAAGCCTTGAGCTCTGGGTCTCTGTGCAATTCATTCCATGGCTTCAGTAAAGGTGGCTGAAACAGTTCCTTGCTATAGTACTGCCCTTACTCCAGCTAGGTTAAACTGCTTCTCTTGGGACGACTCGAAAAGAACACTGGAAGCCACAGTCATTTAGCATGATACAGCCCTCTTGAGCATCACAGGGGTCACAAGAGCCCTGCTAGGGCCCTTTTCATATTGACTGAAAGGCCAACCAGAAATGAGTCAACATGAGAAACTAGCACTCAGCATACTACCTAAATTGGGACCCTTTTGGGTGGGGGATACTCCTAATCTGCAAAAGCCTGAGGGCTAATAACAGGCCAGTGAGGGTAAGGCCAGGCCTCTGGAGAGGATTAAATTTGCAAGGCCTTGCTCTCCCACACTTGAGGCCCAGGGGAGGAGAGCAAAGAAGGGATACTGCCACAGGGTCCCCTCTACTGGCAACTTCATTCGCCCTATCCAGGCCTGAACTACTTCACTGTGCTGCTAGCTGACCTAGTTAAGACAGTCACACCCGGACCTGAATCCCCTGTCCATAGTAGAGCAAGTGAGCCAGGTCCCTCTAAGGATGTTTTTTATTTTATTTGTTATTAATATTTTTGTTTGTTTTTTTGAGACAGGGTTTCTCTATGTAGCTCTGACTGTCTTGGAACTAACTATGTAGACCAGGCTGGGCTTGAACTCACAGAGATCTTTCTGCCTCTGTCTTCCAAAAGTTGGGATTCAACTCCAGGCTCCTAAATGCTGAGCTCAAAGGTGCTCACCACTATGCCCAGCCTATTTAGTTTTGTGGTACTGAGAATTAAATTCAAGACTTTACACATGCTAGATAAAGCACTCTACTACCAAGCTATAGGTCTGGTCTTTATTTCAAGACTGGGTCTTGCTACAGTCCAGGCTGTCCCCAAAGCCACCATCCTCCTGCTTCAGCTTCCCAATCACAGGAATTCCAGGTACATTACCTGGAGTTTGGACAAGCTGAAGTGGCATCCCTGTAACATGAATTGCTAAGTGGTCTTATTAATAAAAACAAAACAAAACCCAGAGCCAGATAC